TCAGGGAGCCTGATGCGGGGCTCGATCCCAGGACCCTGGGATCATGACCTGAGCTGAAGGCAGACGCTTAATGACTGAGCCACCCAGGAGCCCCTCAACCTACATCCTAATAGGAGAATATGTATGATCTCAGAGTGGTAAAGGATTTCTTAAAATAGTCATAATAGACAAAACAACATTAAGGAAAAATTGATTACATTAAAATTAAAAACTCCTGTGAACCAAAAACGAAGTGGAAAAACAAGTTCCAGACTGAGAGAAGATATTGACAGTGTATATTAACTGTCAAGGGATTGTGTCAAGACACAAAACTAAATAGGAACATGGGCAAAGGATATAAAAAATAATTCACAGAAGAAACTTGACTGGAGAATAAACATAAGAGTTTAGTAATTAGGAAAATGAAAGTTAACATAATGAGATATTTCATACCTATCAGACTGATAAAAATTAAAAGGCTGATAATACCAAGTGTGGCTAAGAATGTAGAACACAGGGAACTCTCATACGTTGCTAGGTGAGTATACTTATCCATCCACTTCGGAGAATCTTTAGTAAAGTGGAACATACGTGTATCTTTTGACCCAGGAATTCCCCTCCTGGGTTTATATTCTGTAGAAATCCTTCAACCTAAGCACCAGGAGATATGTTTAAGAATTTCCACAGCAACATTGTTTAGAATACCAAACAAATTGGAAATAACCCAAATGTCCATCCACAGGCAAATGGACAAATATATTGGCATATTCATACAGTGGAACAATTTGTAGCAATGAGAGTGACATGTATCAGTAGGAAAGAATCTCTAACACAATATTAAGTTAAAAGCAAGTTGTAGATGGGGCGCCTGGGTGGCTCAGTTGGTTAAGCGACTGCCTTCGGCTCAAGTCATGATCCTGGAGTCCCTGGATCGAGTCCCGCATTGGGCTTCCTGCCCGGCAGGGAGTCTGCTTCTCCCTCTGACCCTCCCACCTCTCATGTACTCGCTCTCTCTCATTCTCTCTCTCTCAAATAAATAAAATCTTTAAAAAAAAAAAAAAAAGCAAGTTGTAGAAGGATAAATAAATATGTAACCAGAAATTTAAAAATGATAAATGCCAAAAGAAGTTAGAAATGCATGGATATGGTATGGGATTGTAATTACACTATAGCTGTAGTGTAGATATAAGTAGATGATAAGTACAAAGTATATGTCATATTTTCTGTATCTTTCTCAATGTTGGCATATTTAATAGAAAAAGTTAATGGATAGAATCTGTTTGAGTGGATATATATTCAAGGTAGTGAAGGGATCATTGGTAGAGTAAGTAAGGTTCCTGAGGTGGGGAGGAGGATGAGATCCAAATCACAAGTTGTGGTGGGGGGGTGTCTTCAAAAAGTCTGTAAAGGAGCTATCAAAGAATTGGTTGACATTGGATAGATGTTTCTTATTTCATAAATGTTTAATTTTACTTGGCTTACTAATAGGTTGGGAAGACCTATTAGTTATGTATGCTTAGGAATTTGCATGAGAAAATATGATAAAGCACATCTGCAGTCTGATGAACACATAAATTAATATTTTAGACTTTATTATAAGACTTCCTTCTAGGGGCACCTGGGTGGCTCAGTCGTTAAGCGTCTGCCTTCGGCTCAGGTCATGATCCCAGGGTCCTGGGATCGAGCCCCGCATCGG